TATATATAATGCACAGATACCATTTTTTCTAAAACAATTACAGACTAATGATTTCAGGACAGTGGGGAAGCACCAGGGTCCCGTTACAGTTGCGACCCTGGTAGTTCTCATGAAATGCCAAGTATCGGCACTGGTATCTGAACATCTCTACATTTTAGGGCAGGTTAATTGCATTGCACCATTGAATTCTCCTATCCTTGGGTGTGCATGGTTTTTGCTAGTCACATGCCACGCAACATGAGAAGAAGAAACTGTAGCATTTGCTGACCGTTCAGTTAACAGCTTATACTTGTTCTAAAGCAGGCCTAAGTTTGAGAGCAAACATCTAAAAAGGTTGCTAATGACACAGCTACTAATTGTTTTTAGTAAGTATGACATTGTCCTGGTGGTTGGTCACCCTTCATTCCACAACTTATTGTTTGTCATATGACCAATAGGGAGGCTTGGTAGGAGGAAAGGACAGGTTCAGCTTTTAGAACAATTGCTTCAAATGCCTGTATTTCTAGAGTTACTGGTAATTTTGACTGTTAACATATTTCCTCACCATGTGGTTAGTTAGCCCTGCCTAGGTTTACAACAGAGTTACTTTAATTCAGTTACCCAAATGGTTGCTGTGCCTAAACAAGTCTCCCCTGTTGTGAACAGACAGCTTAGGACATTACACTTGGTGATAAATTTCACACGCACATTTCTTTGGTCATCACAATAGGGGTACTTTTCTTACCAAAGATCATTTTCTGCATGTCACCAGTCATTAGATATGGATCACCATTTTATTTTCAACAGATGATACACGCTCATTTTTCTACAGCTGCTGCCAAATATGTTTCAGATCTTTTCTGGTTCAAATTGGCTATGGCTCAACTCTGTGCACAAACACAATCCTATATACACCACTAGTATTTATCATAATCGTGTCTAACACTGGCCAGTGCCAGAACTTGAACTACCTGCTTTTGTATGATATTCTATAACTTGCACACTCCGCTTTTTTTGTGTACCACAGATACGGGGGATTGGTTTTTACATTACTTACCCATGTAGAGCTCGATTTATAGTTTTTTCTAAAGGATCACTGGTAAACTTGCTATCCAGATCAAAATCATACTTTGGTTCCCATTTGAATGTAATGACAAAGTTCTCCTGGAACTTGGACACCTCCCGTGGATCTGTTTTCAAAGAAGGGCACCCACTCTCACTGCTCCCAAGCAGAGATTCCCTTGGTAAGAACAAGTCTGATGGTTGGTCCACCATCTCTTCATTGTCTGGGCTTGTCACTGTTGGCTCTGAGACACCCTGGCAAGGATTTTCATTTAGTTCTTTTGAGGATTTATCTGCGGCATCGTCTCTGGGAAGCTGGGAGTAAGAATGCTCCAAGCTAATCTTACTTGTGGTATTATTTCGTGCTTTTGCCTTAGCAGCTGCAATAAGCACTTTGTGGGAGGCTTGTTTTTCACTGTTCTCTGTACGGTGCTGGGTTGTACTGTTCACAAGACTGTCATCGCTCACAACCTTGGGCTGGCTTTTTACACAATCAGGTGCCTGAACAGGCTCCTCGGAGGCAACACTAGATTGTAATGGGGAACTGCAGTCATTTTGTGGGTATTCCACAGCATTTCCGCTATCACTGCTGGGGACCGTCTCCTGGACTACAGGCTCACTTATGGGAGCAACACTCTCAGAGTTTATATATGAAATACTTGAGGAAGAGAGTGAATTTAAAGCCAAGTCAGCCAGAAGATTTAGGGCATGAGATTCATACATGCTTATCCGCTTCTCCATTAAATCAATTTCAGGAACTGGTGCCGAGGGAGTTGATTGCTTAGCGATCACATTGAGATCCATGCTGGATTTGCTGAATGAGGTAACTGGTTCAAAGGAAACAGTATTAATAGATTCCATTGTTCTTCTTAATTTCTTCCCAGGCTGCTCTTGCGGTTTTATTACTGCTTTTCTCATATTTTCGGATTTGGCTTTAACTTCAGGTGATTTGTTCCGGTTACCTACAAAGGTGACCCAAAGAAAGAAGAATGAGCACAATGGAAAGATGCATTGTAATTGTTTTCAGAAAACCTGTTACCGTGTTTCCCCGAAAATAAGACACTGTCTTATATTTTTTTGGCCTCAAAAAAAACACACTAGGTCTTATTTTTTTTTAATGTACAACAATCCACACTTATTCATGTACAACAGTCTACATGTATTGATGTAAAAAAATATGGTGATTAGGCCAATTAGGGGTGTCGTACCTTTTCAAGAGCAATTTGCTAACAAATCGCTGGCCAGAATGAGCAAAGCGCACTTTCACTATCGATTCCTCACAGGCGGAGCGCATTTGGTATCACTCCGCCTGTGACAGGAGTCGGCGCTATTGAGGAGGCATCGGCTTATGTGGCTCTGCTCCCTCCGGTGCCGCGTTGCTTCCTCTAGCGCCGGCTTCGTTGGCACCGCTGATTCTCTCTTGCGGCTCTTCAAGTTCCCCCTTATGCCACCACCGTCCCTGGGAATGGTCACAACTAGGTCTTATTTTCGGGGTAGGTCTTATATTATCTATAATAGATATATATATATAGCGCAATTCCCAAAAATAGTACTAGGTCTTATTTTCGGGGAAACAGGGTAGTAAAAGTGCAAACAAATGAATTGTAGCTACAAAATGCTTAGATTTCTCCAAAAATGCTGCTCCTGGCTGCCACTGGTAAAAGGTTACATGACCAATGCCTAAGCAGTTTTGGCAGAGCCATTGAAGGTTAAGCTGGTTAAACAGTTATATTTTCTTATTTCAATGAGAAATATAGCAGATTCCTCCATCAACACGTTAAAGCGCGAATGGAGGAATCCCCTGCTGTTTTGCAGCAGGGGATTCAAATGTATAGCCTAGTTTAGCCTTTGCAAAGAACAGCAGTCCCCCGAGCCACTAGGGCAAGATTGGGAGACTTGTAACTGGTCATTAAGGCAGCCACCCAGGGGAGCCTAAAGCACTGCCTTCCAGAGCAAAGGTAAGTACAGAACTATAGTTACCACTGGCTTAAACCAATAGCAGTGAAATTGGGATCCTTCCAGCAGGCTTGTTCTTAGACCGAATCCCTACAGCCTCTCTCCCCCTGCCCTGCAGCCCTCCTCATATCATCAAGATGTATACAAGTGTATAGACGCAAGGACGCTGAGAAACATTCCATCTGTGCAGCACAGGAGACACGCTTCACTGACTGGAAAAGGCAGGGAGTTGGCTCAGCAGTTCGGGTGAAGCACAGCTTTTTTTTTTTTTTTTAGCACCTAGACAAAAACAATCAGTTAACCCTTTTTGTGCGGGGGAAGCCCCACGGCAAGAGTTACTAAAAATTTTACCTGGAGTTCTTCTTTAAAGGACACGCACGCTTCAAATATTATTGCTTGGCATGCAATATTTGGAGTTATTTATATAAATATATTGTATATAGGGTGGGAGGTTTCAACTGTTTATGTTTAGAGAGCGCAGTGCATTTTTGAAAACTCCTTACTACTGTGTATTACAAGTGCCCACAACTTATCGGTGCTACATATAAATGACGATTAAGGGTTCCTTTTTACCTGGATCAGAGGCCTTACGTCTTGGAGGTCTGTCACGTATCAAATAGCTGTCTTCTGCTGCAGCTATTTTTTTTTGTTTTCCCAATATAACTTTATTTTTAAGAACGGTGGTTTGTACTTTATTCCGTTTGTTTGTAGCTGTAGTTTCTGTTTCACTGGCTTTGTCATCATGAACAAATTCAGCAGTCAACACCTCAGCGCCTATTAAGAAAATCAATTGTTAGAAAACAAAAACACACAAGAAGTAGAAAAATAAGCGAGTATAAGCCATGAAAGTCTCAGTATCGAAGTTGCAAAGCCCAATTAACAAACTGCTGTAAATAAACAGTGATTTGTCACAATGTCATGATGTGACGCTTTGGGGCCAGATGGGATTCCTTAATCAAGGCAACAGTGACAGTCACTGTTGCTTTGATCCAAGGGTCCAACATGGCCCCAAAAAACATTGTTCTGACACTGCGACAATAAAAAGAGGCCCGTTTACGCTGGGTGTGCTGGTGACTCTTTGCAACCTTGACATATAACTTAATAACAACGCTATTGGTTGAATGTCACTGCAGCACCCAGTGTAGTAAAGGCTGTAAAAAGTGCACTGTAGGGCTGCAACTAATTATTATTTTCATAATCGATTAGTTGGCAGATTATTTTTTTCCATAAATCAGATTAAAAATAAATAAATACCATCCTTAATTTAAAATGAAATACACACATGGAATGTTACCAACAGTTTACCTCAGAATAAAACTGCATGCAAAATTTTTTGCAATTGCACTGCATTGGAAAGCTCAGCATTGCGGTACCGTGCATTCCAGTGCGGCCGATCACACTGTGGGTGGGAGGCGCGTTTGGGGTGCCTTTGAAATGAATTGCACTGAAACACACCTTCCGCAGCAGAATTTGTCAGGCCAAAACCGAAAATGACTTTTTTCCCACCTTTTATATATATATATATATTTTTTAAATCACTATATTGTAAGCACATGGTGCTTGAATAGCTTCAGCCAGGGAATGACAGCTGCCAGTGGCAAGAATCTGCAGATGGCAGCTAATGTAAATAAAGCAGGTAGTGGGCTGGTGCAATAGCCAGCCTGCTATTGGCCGTTTCAATTGCAATAGTTGGCCGGCTATTGCACCTGCCCACTGCTTGCTGTGCCCTCCTCCCAGCATATAGGAGAGAGCTAGGGAATCCAACCAACTAATTGATAATGAGAATAGTTGACAACTATTCTCATCAATTATCAATTAAGCGATTAGTTGGTTCCAGCCCTAGTGCACTGGATTACATGATCTCGAGAGAAAAAAAAAAAGAAAAAATCTCAGCTCTCATGGTGCAACAAATTTCCCCAATAAAGTGAAATGGGTGTTAATTGCTGATATTGGTTATTTGTAGTAGAATTTCAACAGTTTTAAACAAATGCTGCTTCTCAATTAGAATCAATTTCTTCCACAAAAGCATAAAATAGGCAAGTACACATTATATCTGGAAATATGAAACAAAGACTCAAACATTTAACAAAAATTATTTTTTGAAATAATGAAAATTAAATGAACAGAAGAAAATATTTCAAAACCACTCTATGAGACCCAAAGTCTGGGCTAATCGGCCACTGTTTTGGGTTTTTTTTTTTTTTTATCATCAGCATATTAAAATGTAGTAGATATCTATCTTTTAGGCTGTAAGTGTTCTGTTTGCTATATGATCTTTTGTAATCATTTACATTGATTTTTCAAAAACAATCTTGCTGCAGCGGATGGTTTTCTGACAACTAAGCAAATAATTTCAGAGATCTCCTATTTTATCGGTCGTCAAATATTCTTCAAAATTTTGAACAACTTTAAAATCTTCCCAAGAACTGCCGATAAGAGTGGGGGCACTGGACAAATATTGTATGGGATCAAACACACGTGTTCAGCTCAGCAACCAATATACTTTAATATTCTCTGTAATGCTGTTCAATGATGGCTTAATAAATCCATGTAGTCATCCACAAATGTTACATTTTTATGAAAAGTTCCCATTATAGGAAAATAAAACACAAGGTGGATAGTTTGAAAACAAGATTGTCTCCAGGGAGAAGACTGATAATTGCAGAAAAGTATTGCCACTCAGATCTTCAAAACAGCAAGACGATAGCCTACCCTATAGAGGCTACGCATACCCAGCGGCATAACTCTCCCTAGATATTATCCAGATTTCCTCAGCATAGATGGCTAGGTAAAGGTAATTAGCTACAAATCCTAATGAAGGAATATAATTAGAAAACACAGCTTCAAAGGGAAGACATTGAGAAGGAATGACATGTACTTAGTTAATCGTACATTACCAAAATCAGCCAAAGCTGGAAGAGATAAACAGCTAGATAGGTAGTATCACGTATGCAGATATGTAGGTATTAATATTTACTGGTTAATTATAGAAGTAATAATCTGATACAATTCATACATGAGATGGGTGTTCTACTGACTAAACCAAAATACAATTTCTGAGTAAAAGCCTTTAAAAAACAACTTTTTTTTGTAGGATATATGGCAATCAACTAGTAAAAGTTAAAATAAAGATAAAAAAATGGTCAGATATAAAATATCAACATTCATTACCAGTTTGATGTAATGGTCAGTAAGGCAATTAAAGTAACACTAAACTCAAAAGTTACATCTTAAAAATGCATTCAAGTACCTGTTCTCCTTATATACATCTACATTCTCCAAAGCCACATTTATTTATGTTTTAAAATAAAGTCTTACTTAATCCCTTTAGAAAGTCTGCTGTGCTCGCTCCTGTTGTTGTTCTCTCCAGTCACACTTCCGAATAGCCGTGCATGTTGATTCTGGTCATCTTTCTTTGCCTACAACTCCCATGAGGCAGAGAGGCTGCCTACTTCCCCTCCCTCACTATACACACTGACAGTGTCATTGCTTGTAATCTCCTCTGCAATGCTCTGAATTATCAAAACTACTGACAACAAATCTACAACAGACAATCACATGTACAACACATTTACAACAGACATCAAGCTTACAACAATCTACACAGAAAAACAACTTTATTTCAAATGTAGGAGCCGTCTCCTCTGTGATTGCGTGTTTAGTTATTCATTTTATCTATTGTATCCAACACTACCCTCTCTACAAATTGACAATGCAGCTTTCCAAGGGTGGCTCACTTGTTCCATAGTTCCACCAAGCCACTCTAAAAACAGGAGGTGTGTTACTGGCTATATCGCCAAGTGAAAAAAGCCAAAACTGTGACTGACACCCTCACCTTCCCATCCCAAGCACAAACAGTTGTGACCCTTTGTAACATGTAGCTCTGGAATGCCCGGCCACAACTGATTGGGTCAGGAGGAGGCCGTGTCAGTGAGAGTTTAGCAGGAGCTTGGATGGACTTGGTAGAATTTGGTCCGTACCAAGCCCCCAACATCACTGCTGATCACGTGGGCAGCACTGCAGATCTAAACAGAGACTAAGATGATGCAGGCTTCAGCTATAAAAGGAAAGGCGGGTTTAGTTCAGCTTTAAGGGAGTTAGAGCTCTTCAAAGACAAGGTGCAAACAATATGGTATCAACTCAGAGCATACACGTGGTTTGTTTTTTTTGTGAGTAATGCTGTATATACACATTTCTTGCCACCTAACAATCCCCTGATTTGGAAAAAAAACATGGTTTCATTAACGTCTTCCCCCTTTACATTAATATGGGAGGAAAGTTTAAAATGTGATACCTGCAGGCTTGCTCAGCTTAACAGTTCACATTTTAAATCTAAAAGGGCAAGCTGCAGTACAGCAACACATAAAGAGCCCTGTATCATGAAATGTGCATCACACCATTAAACATGACAGTAGACACAGGTCTAGCTACAATGAGAAAAATCATAATACATTTACAAACCTCTCTTTCTCCCAGGAGTATAAGGAGCGCTGGCAAGTTTGACTGTGGTTCTGTTTGATGAGACAGCTTGCTGCTGGTCTCCAACAATTACATTTCTCTTGTTTGAAGCCTGGTTCTCACTGGCAGCACTAGAAGACAAAGCAGCTTTTTGCGTATGCTTCCTTTTACCTTTCCTGGCCCCTCGTCTTCCACCTTTTTTAAAGGTTCTCTTCTTAGGAGGCTGTTTTTTGTTTTCATTCAAAACGTTGTTTCCACTCGAGCCATCACTTTTGATCTTATTTGTTGCTAATAAAGGTATTTTAGATTCTAAGGCAACAGAGTCCTTCACTATTACTTTTTTGCTGCATTTCTCAGAGTCAGTGGACACTGGGATATCTTCCTTTAAGAGAGTGGACATTTTTAGCAGTGGAACACTGAAATTTATTGGTGATGAAAAGTAGGACTGCAGGCGAGAAAAAACCAACTGGTCACATTTATCAGGAATGTCTTTTCCATGACCAAAAGATAAGCTTGAAGTGCTACTTGACTCTGCTTTTACCTCCCCGATACTGACACTTTTCCTTTGAAGACTGGTAAACTGTTTGAAATGTTGTTCCACCAAAGCATCGGGATAAAGGGTTTTGCCTTTTTGCATCTGTCTTGTTTCTAGAATGGCATATTGAAGGCCAGGCAGTAATTCAGTTATTTTCAATGAGATGTCTTCTTTGACAAATTTGTAACCCCCGTGTTCTCTTCCTACATGATAAAACATTTCAAAATATGCTCTCTGAATACAAATCAGCAGATGTAATCTTTACACATACAAAAAAGTAGGTATCATTAAAACACAAGCTATGATATGTCCTTAAAATAACCAGTTTAAGTTGCTCCAGATTTTAAAGAGGACTTGAACTATGAAAGCTGTGCCCAAACAGGCAAGCGCAGGCAAAAGACTAGTGGCCAGTACTGCAGCTGATCTTTTTTCCCCCATTACTGACTTACCATGCCTTTTTATGCATGGTGTCTCTGGGAGGGGGTGGCCATCTTGGTAGATGAGCAAGGCTCTCTGTTTCCTTATGTCGCAGCTGCCCTATAATGACAGCTGATCTGATGACTGGTGGGGGAATAAATCAAGAAGCAGTCGGAGGGATTGGAAAAGGAATAATCTACAGAATGAATCAGATGCATGTATAGTGCAGATTCCTCTCCAGCAAGCAGCTCCGTGATTAAATGACCAAATCACCCTCCAAATCCCATCAGACTAGCAGTCACAGGAAGCAGCGCCTTACGTGATCTCACGCTGCAGATATACGTATATTTACGTATGCATGTACATTAATTCTAGTGGCTAGAATAATTCTAGCCAATAGAATTATTGTATGCACATACGCCTCAAAACACTGTACACACATAAACACATGCAACTACACACCAATATATGCAAGGGAATATTTTAATGTGCTCATATACATGAGCCCTAAGACACTATGCAATAGTAGCATGTATAGGTAGAAGTTGTATGAAAGGAGAGAGAACTGTGGAATTACAAATGCTATCTACCTTTAGGGTCCCAGGTAGTGAGTTCAAGGGGAGTCTTATGACAAAGTCCTCAAATGACAAAACGCACTGGGGAGAGTAAGTGATACAGTTTTGAGTAGGTGACACCGTTAGAGATGCAGTAACATAAGCGTTACAAACATGCTTACTGACAGTAGGTGATTGTCAGAATAGAGATGGTGAAATATCAAGTGATGGAATAATGCTGTACAAGCATCTAGAAGTGTGAGTGTTATTACTATATACATGTTCCATTGCTGTGTTTAAAAGTATATTGCGGTTTATGTGGACCATGATCGGACCGTGACAAGGGGGGAAATGTTGATTTATTAATCACTTTTTATTTCATGTTGAAGCAGGTCATTGAAATCTGGCAAGTCTAATCTTGTGGGAGAGGAATCACGCAGGTGGTGATGCACTATATGTTTTATTATTCTTGACATCTTCATTTAGAGTGGATAACATCAAATGTTTGTTTGCACTTTACTACATGTATGAGAATGCATGCATTTCCTGTGGAGTGTAGAAGTTTTTTTGAACTTTATTTAAAGAAGTTATCTGGGCAAAAAAGTTTTTTAACCCTTGGAGGGGCTCATCAAGTGCTTGTGTTGGTCTAGGTGCAAAAACAACAATTATATTAACCGGATCCTTGCAGACAGCTGGCTGTTACAGTGCTCCCTCCAGCCTCTCTCCTCCCCCACTGCAGAGATGGTATGGTAATTCCCTTGGCAACCTCACATCCTATACGCATACTGTATAGGACATTATGACTCACGGGACCTTAGACCTCTAGAGCGGAGTGGGAGAGAGGGTGGAAAGACCGGCTAAAAGGATCGGTTGTGTATAACTTTACTTTTTTTGCACCTAGACCACAACGAACACTTAACATTTGCAGTGCAGGGGTAGCCCCACTGCAAGGGTTACGAACATTTTTGCCCTTCTTTAATACATGAGAATTTAGGTCTCTATTTTGTGAATGCCAATAGCACTTTGGAGTCTGTTTATCAGTCTTTTCACCCAAAATTCACCAAAGCTTCACATTTTTTACCAAAGAATAAAAACAAAAAATAAATAAATGTTTGATTCATGGGTGAAAAGATTCCGTTGTATATATTATAAGGAAGTAGGGGGAACACCAGGTGTTGCTGTCTTTGTAACGTTTAAGTGGCCTCATATTAAATTATATGGTTAAAAGTTTTACACACTGTATTGGGATGTAGTAGCCTAATGGATCATTTTCATTCATCAATTTGTTTTAAAAACACCACAGATTTATCTTGAATATTTAAATTTAACACCATTATTGATAGGCAGAAATATTCAGTGTCAAAGTATGAGAAATAAACAATTTGTCTATTTTACATGAGTAAGAAAATTAAATTGGTACCTAAAATGGAAAAAACACATACCTAATAAACTTCCTTACCTGTATTATCCAAGAGTTTTGTGTGAGGAAATAAAAACAAGGCAAAAAGCTGGAAAGGATCCTTTACACTAAAATCTGAAAAGAGAAAGCAAGTTTTACCTTCAAAATGCACCTAAACTGAAAAAAACAATGCGGTAATAACTCCACAACTATGACAAATTACCTTTGCTCCGCTGAAGTGCAGAAGATGTCAACAAAATCAGAAATCCTTGGTCATTTAATACTTTAATCAATGCCTATAAAAAAAAAAAAAAAAAAAAAAAAAAAAAAAAAAAAAAATTAAGTTGTGCCCACATTTTTAA